GGCATTCCCAGTACAGAGGCCCTATAGAATAGGGTCACCTCTCTGCCTGGGGGGAAGGAGGTGCTGCAGCATGGAGAGTGGGACAGGGAGCTGGAGCTTTCACTGCTTCCCAATCACCTTTCACCCAGTTCTCCTGATTTTGGCTTGCTCATTCCAGTGGTATCTGGGACTGCCAATTTCTTTTTCTTTTCTTTTCTTTCTTTTTTTTAGGATTTTCCATTAAAGTAGGGCTGTTCTTCGTTTTCTCTGGGTTTCAGTTTTCTTGGGGCTGCTAAGTCAATTACCAGGCATCCATCTGTTTCCAGCTTCCAACATTCTTTTTTGCTATTGTCTCTTCTGTTCTCTCTGTCCTCGTGATTTTGTGTCCTTTTTATTATTATTTTGTGTGTGTGTCTTTATATATATATTACTTTTTGATAATTTTAGTGGGTTTCAGGAAGAATCCACATGTGTAGATTCAATTCCCTATCTTCTCGTTAAAAAAAAAAATCCGAATCCCACTGGTATGAGACATTACCTCCTGGCATTCCCCTCCTGTGAGCTCTGTGAATGGTAGACAAATGAGTATGAACTTCAGATAAGCAAGTCATACTCTCCCCTATGAAGTTCACACTATGAGGGCATAAAGGTCAGAGTCCTGATTATGATCATGGAGGTTGGAAGGGCAGAGAGCCAAGATAAACCAGGCAAACCTACCTAAAGATGCACTGCAGTAACAAGAAGGAAAAGATACTGAGTCTCATTTTTCTAATGAGGGAGTTCAGCCCTTCTCCCTCTGCTTCTATGGCTTGGTGGTAAAGAAGTCACTCCAGAAAGCCTACCTGCTTCCTTGCACTTTTTCTTGTCTCTTACTTTGGGATGAGGTGATGGTGGCTACGAGCTATTTGGGTAAACTGAATAGTTTGAAATGGGGAAAGAAGTAAACTACTATATTTCCGTTTTTCTAGAACGCGCTGTGGACAAAGATATCCCATTTCACTTCCTCTTTCAAGCTCAAACCTAAGAATCTGGCAGTGATGACACAGATGGGCAAGAGAACTCCAGGGGGCGGGAATTGTGGTGATTGTGGTGTTCTACAGGTGATGTCAGTAGCAGAGGCCTTGCACCCAAGAGGAGGAGAGCTGAGCTTGACAGCTTCTTTCACTGCACAGATCTAACTTGGAAGTTCCCCAATGGCCTCTCTACGTAGCAAGTGTGTGGGGGCAGGGGGGGATGGAAGTCAGTGCATAAATCCTCCAGTTTCCTCATCATTGGAGAGGACAGTGTTGAGGCTGTCCCAGGTATCTCTGGGGGTTCCCAGCCAGATGGAGCCCGGCTGCCGATGGCAGTCACTAGCTCACCAGCTGGTTTCTTAGTATTGGTTTCTCTCCCTCCTGTATCATCTCTCCCCATTTCTTTTCTCCTACTTCCTGGGCTCACCTCTCAAATAGATGACCTACATCCCAGCCTTTGTCTAAGGGCCTGCTCTTGGGAGAATCCTCATGAAGACAGGTTGCCTCCATTTCAAAGCAATTCTGAGCAGGCTGCACCACCCCTGGGAAGCTGTGCCTCTGCTCCCTCCATCTGCACTGGTCTCAGCTAGAAGCTCCCACACGAGATCTTCAGCACATTTGTATTTTCTCAGGAACTCTGAGTTCTGTTTGGGTGATGGGGCCTGTGTGTGCTAGAAAGGCAATGTCGATTGTTGGTGGCTGAGGAAACAGAATTCCTGGCTCCTGCATCTTAGACACATGCCTGACCCAAAGCAAGGGACCTGCACACAGGAACCTGTATTTCCTCCCCACTCACTCTTGCACAGTCATGCACACATATCCTGCATTAAGAAGCAATTCCTTATGGGGCTGGCTGGTACTCCAGCTACAGGTCCACATGGACTGTGAGGAGGAAACGCCTTGTAATTCTTGGATAAAGGGGCTCAAACACTGAAGGGTCAACCTTTGAGAAGGTCATTCAGAGCTCTAGGTAATCAAACAGCCAAGTGATTGGCCAATGTGGTGTAGGGCGGATGGACAGAGGAGTTGAGCAACCTTTGGTTTCTAGCTTCTGTTTTGAAGATCTCTTACCTTTCTTGGTCAGGCAGTACAACAAACTTGTACTGCACACCAGATCCCAAGATGACTTGAACCTACTCCCAATCCCACTGTAGTTACCATCCAGAAAGCTGCTATCCAAAATCAGTTGCCAGCATTTGATTTAAAATTAAATGTCCATTCCTTCCCAAAAGGTAGGGGAGTGTTGAAGGACTTCTAACTCTGTGGCTTCTAGCAATGGATTAGGTACGAGGAATATGCTTTAAAGCAAGCACAGTAATAGAAAGAAGATAGGAGAAGACTGGGAGGAAGAGAGAGAGAGAAGGGCATCCTCCCAAGTCCTAAACAGTGAAATCTTTCCAATTGTTCCTCCCATTATGTAGAACAAGGGAACATGTTAGCTGATTAAGTCACTTCTTCAAGTCCTAGATGCCTGCTGTTTTGGGGTACCTACCTAAACTATCAAGACCTCCCTGTAGTGCACCCACAGCTCCTATATGTATTTTGCTTGGGGTGGGGGGGAGAGTTTTGCAACTGGTGGGGAGGAAGGAACCATCTGTATAACTAGGCAGATAGGATCACAGACCAGCAGGTGAATCATCAGCTAGAAAGAAGATAGGAGGCCAGAAATTCTGACTTCTCCCTCAAGGAGAACAAGGAGCAGCCCACTACTGCCATCTGTGTTGCCCCATCCTTAGGTGACATTTTCTTCCTGGCCGCAAAAGGCAGCTAGGCTAGGTGATGCCTCCACGAAATTTTAATTAGCTGGGTCTCCCTAAAAGCAGCAACTGAAAACTGCCCCTACTCCTTACATCCTTATTCTTTCCCTCTCTCCCCACCTCTTCTTTCTTTCTCCCCTAATTTTCACAAGGACAAAGGACACGAAGCTGGAGTCACTCCACCCTCTAGCCTACTGCTTGTTTGGACTAGCAAATTTCTAGCCAAATTTTCTAAACAAACAAATATAACAGGTTTCCAAACACCAGGCAGGGGAAGGCAGCCACAAGAAGGGAGGAGGAAAAAATAAAGGCTCAGGCTTGCTCTCCCTTGGGAGCCTCCTGGGCACACCACTCACATGTGAAGTCTCCAGGAGACACCGTTCCTGAGAAGAGCTCATATTCTGGTTAGAGCAGGGAAGGGGGTACAGGGCTCGGGCATGGGCGTTCCAAAGAAAGTTTATTAACAAGTTAGGGGACAGGAAGGAAGATTTCATTAAAAAGTGGTTTGGTGGCCCTCCCTGGTAGCGCAGCAGGTTAAAGCGTAGCACTAAGAAGCCACTTCCACATGAGTTTGATCCCCAGCCCCGGAGGTGACCACATGGTGCAGCAGACCTCTCCTGACCCGCCCGCTGCTCCCCTCAGCAGTGTACTTCGTCGATCTGCCTGTTCTGCTCCCTGCTCTGTCTCTGGTGAAGCCTCTCACCGTCCCTGCACCTCTGGCCTGTACCCCGGTTCTGTGTGCACAAATAA